ATTTTTTTTTGGGTGGGGGCGATACTGATAAAAGAATATATTTTATATATAAATTCTATTTCGTCCGGCTGGGGGGGGGGCGTTAGACATTCTTCAGGGGGTACCCGGAAGAGATGCCTGAAAGAAACTCTGCTCCCATCACTGTTTATTCACACGTATTGGCTTTGTTAAATGTCAACAAAGTTCACAACGGTCTTACCATTATAGTAATCCACTCTCGAACGTGAGTTTGGTGCATCAAAAAAAGCTACGAAAGGCTCCGTAATTTCAGGATAAGGAAAACGCATGACGCCTTCTACCCTGTATGTGTCTTTGTAGACAGGTGGGTCTACTGCTAGGCAACCAACAACTGAAAATAAAAATATCAAACCAGGTCATGTTTAGACTAATTTCAACGGGAAAATGCGCAACGAAAAACTGCGCACAAACAAAGCAAAGTGTAAAGGGGCATTTTGGCTTTCTTAAATCGAACATTTATAGACATAACTAAAGAATGATAACATGTGCATTGTAGCATAATAAAACACGTATCCACGAATTGTAATAAATTGAAAGTATTGCAGTATAATTATTTTGTGTTTTTGCATTTATCTCTTTGCGCATTTTTCCGTTTGCGCAGTTTTCCACTGGCGCATTGTTCTGGTAACCCAATCGAAACATTCCATCGGAAATCAATAGTGTATGTGGCCCAATGTGTCTTGGGCACAGAAGGGAACAGATGAGGAATCTTTTCCCACACGTATTAACTATTTCGCTATCGCTAGGAATTCGATTAATCTAAACTCATAACTAAAGCATGTTTTTCAAAAAGGTATTATTTTATGCTCATTATCACTTAACAATGCAGCATTTGTTAGATTCAACGTCATTTTGCCAGTTTTTTAGAGGTGTGTATTTATTGGTTTGTTTGTATGTATGTTTTTGTGTGGTTAAATCGCATAGAATGTTTCATCATTTTCTAAAAACACATTTTCTGTTCGTCAGTCTGTTCGTCCGTCAGTCCGTCTGTTCTTTTGTCTGTCTCATAACAAAAATATTTTTCTTGAAATATAATGTGGGTCGCTGGGAAAAAATATTCTATTCATTTAATGATAACAGCTGTTTTTACTACATCTAAGAATTAATTTTTTTCATTTTCGTTTTTATGTGCGTAAAAATTGTATTAGTTTAAACGTTATTAAACCTGTTCTATTTATCTTCTGGTCTTACTAGTGGTAGGCTAGTTAGAAAAGTTTATCCTCTAGTGTTGCTGAAATTCGTGCATCAATGTTCATTAAAGCAATGGTATTTTAAAATAATTTTATTTTTTATCAAAATTCTAACAAAAATACATGTATAATATTTCTCAATTGTCTTTTTTAAAATTTATTTTGATGAAAAGTTAACAAACTTACAAAAAATGTAATGTGATGAAAAGTTAACAACTACTTACAAAAAAACACCAAAGGGATGTAACCCAGGTTTGCCATTTTCTTGAGAGAACTACCACACCAAGTATGACCACACAAATTATCACTCGATGTACTAGACTTTTTATAGAAACTAAATGAGATAATCAGCGACATCACATGAGGGAGTTAATTAAAACTTAATTAAACTTTACCACCAGTGTACATATGTTTTGGACCCAGGGATCATAGGTTGAAGATTTGAATAGCCTAAGCTTCTTGACTTGTTATAGACTAGCCGATTGTAATGAACAGTTTTAAATTCTTCCACTGCGAGACTGATTCGATCGTTGGTGTGTATTGTATTTTTAAATACATCAGCATAAGCATTCTCGTATTATACATTGTAATAGTTTCATACATCACAAGCTCATTTGACTGATATTTATTAGTTCAATACACCAACAAGCACATTTGACTGTTATTACATTAGTTCAATATATCAGCAAGCACATTTGACTAATATTACATTAGTTCAATATATTAATAAGCACATTTGACTGATATTTAATAGTTCAATACACCAACAAGCACATTTGACTGGTATTACATTTGTTCAATATATCAACAAGCACATTTGACTAATATTACATTAGTTCAATATATTAATAAGCACATTTGACTGATATTTAATAGTTCAATATATCAACAAGCACATTTGACTGGTATTACATTTGTTCAATATATCAACAAGCACATTTGACTGATATTACATTAGTTCAATATATCGATAAGCACATTTGACGGATATTGTAATAGTTCAATACATCTGCAAGCACGTTTGACTGATATTATATTAGTTCACTATATCAGCAAGCACATTTGACTGATACTGAAATAGTTGAATAAATCATCCGGCACATTAATTTTTCTAATATTGTGATAGCTCAATGCATCTGCAAGCATACTGTATTAGTATTAAAGTTATAGTGTTTATACGGAAATTAGTACTGAGTAAGTTCCACTTCCAATTACCAGAGATTGCGCAAAAATTGTTACAGAACTACAAATTTGATAAAATAATGAAGTACTTTTAACATAACTAAAACGGTGCTCAAGTTATCCTTTTTACACACCACACACACACACAGAGAGAGTGAGAGAGAGAGAGAGAGAGAGAGAGAGAGAGAAAGAGAGAGAGAGAGAGACGACACACAGACATAGAGACACAAATTTTCAAACTAAGTTTCTCCGCTTAAAAAATTCCGCATCGCCCGGTCGTGTTCAGCTGTTTATTACCAGTTAATTAATACGATTGTTTCATTATGAAATTAAAATGTAAAGGCCCCAAAAGGTTTGTTTTAAAGAAGTATGGGATGTGTTTGCAAATCGAAAGTTGAATTTTTTTTTTCTTCTATCGTTCCCTTAGCGTTAAAAAATTATAAAACATTTTTAAATAAAAAAGGAGAACCAATGATCCAAATCCTTAAGGATACGTAGGAGATTTTATTAAGAGATTTTATTTTATGTTTTAAAGACCAAACAAAGCACTTGCACAAAAATATTTGCTTTTAAACAGTATCAGTAGCGCATGAAAAACGAGTATCCTTTCCCCATTATCCCCTCAGTCTTATTCCCCCATTTAAAAGCAGCCGTCCGTGACGACAGTTTACAGACGACAACAACCAGATCAAGTAGATCTTGTTACCTCCCTTATTTTCAATTCATGTAAAAACTATGTTATCTGCCACTAACAGCCTACACTAGATCGACTGGTCCTACCATTGTAAACATTCTCGTGAAACACAGCTCACAAGACTGTATGGCTGATCTCGTTTAGCTATTTATCTCCCCTTCTGTAATTAAAAAGTGTAATTATCGAGTTATTTAATGTTGTTATTTCCCCTTAGTTTCGAACCCGTTTAATTAATTTTAAATCGCTGCATTGGGAGTGTGTCAAAATTGAGTTCTAATATTTGCCACAAACCGACAAACTCACAAACAAGCAAACAAACAAACAGACGTTGCGAACTAAATAAAAGCTTGTAATTTTAAAAAAATAGGAAATCAGTCTAATAAAGGGGAAACGTCAGAGATTTATAGACATTAGATTAGACTTAGATGACTGTATAATTTAATCGCATCACAGCGAAAAATAGCTCTAAAACAGTGGTTCTTAACCTGGGTCCGATTATAGACATATGTATATGTATATATATATATATATATATATATATATATATATATATATATATATATATATATATATATATATATATATATATATATTTATATTTATATATATATAGACGATATGTATAGCCTATATATAGCCTATATATATATATATATATATATATATATATATATATATATATATATATATATATATATATGTATATATATATATATATATATATATATATATATATATATATATATATATATATATATATATATATATACATATATATATAGGCCTATATATATATATGTATGTATCTGTATATATATAACATATGGGAATAGAAATCTTTGATCGATAGTGTTTGTATTCGGACCTACAAACAATATCGCATTTACATCCACTTTTAATTTGAAACTAAGGGAGGTAAAACCCACTTTTTCATTTCGAAATCTTGTTTCATATGTTAGCTGCTACCCCCACCCCCTTTGTCGTATGTTGTCGAGTGTGATAGGGGGAAAATCATTTTACTGTGATTCAGTAATTTTTCCTCACACATGGCCGGTAAAATAGTCTACTGAGTTTGAAATATTATTTACAATTAAAGTATATTTAGATATTTAGTTCATATGGTTAAATATTTTTTCTATAGGCACCGACTGCTACTATACACACATACGCATATATATATATATATATATATATATATATATATATATATATATATATATATATATATATATATATATATAGGAAGAGAGACTGTGTCCACCGAGCTGTGATTGATACATAACTTAACGTGTGGGAAAGTAAACACAGCTGGACACAGAGCTGACCACACTATGCCTTTATTTGGCGAGATCAAGAAACATATGAACTCTATTTCATCTGCCCAGTGGATTGCTAGGTCTAAAGAGGAATCGTTACTACATAGGCTCTACTTTATTACAAGCGATTTGTAAAAGAAAAGAAAAACAAGTAAGCTGAATGGATGTTTGCATTATTTTTTTTTTATTTCAATAAAGTTCTTTGATATATTTCTTACATTGATTACATACGATTTTTTAAATTTACTAATCACTCATGGTAGACTTTCTTTGAAGAGGTGCCTGGAAGAAACTGCATAAATCGTCGTAACATGAAATAACACAAAACATTACAAACTTATTGAAAGCACTGTATGCCTAAAAATATTAGTATACTTTATAAAGCTATCATTAAATATCGTTAAAAGTTCACAAAGCAAACTGATTATTTCAAAATGTATGCAGTAACTCATGACGCATGTCAACTCAGCTTTACACTACTTCCGGTTTAAATCGAAAATAGTTCGGTAGAAATGGGTGTTATTTTTATCCCGACCTCAAAGACATCTTAGACATGTCGAATAATCAAGTTAAATTGAAAGCACATAGAAATTATTGGCAAAAACTTTATTTGATGTCAAGTAATAACGGGAAATTGTAAGCATGTTGAATTTTTTTGTAAAACTTTATTTGATGTCAAGTAATAACGGGAAATTGTAAGCATGTTGAATTTTTTTGTAAAACTTTATTTGATGTCAAGTAATAACGGGAAATTGTAAGCATGTTGAAATTGTTTGTAAAACTTTATTTGATGTCAAGTAATCACGTGAAATTGTAAGCATGTTGAAATTGTAAAACTTTATTTGATGTCAAGCAATAACGGGAAAGTGTAATCGTGTAGACCTTTATTTGATTTCGACAAAAGAGGCATAGGTAGCGACTCCGCAGTTGTTGTCTTTTTGTGACATGAGGATGTAGCCGTCGTTGCCCCAATATGTTGACCAGGAGTTCTTCACTAGCCAGTAGTCTTGTCCATTCATGGTGCCATAGCCCACTGCCAGCACTGCGTGGTCAAGGTCATATAGTCCATTCTCTGGAAATGATAAGGTTCATCAATGTTAAACTCTCTTAACATGGAGCTCAGAATTGTACTTAAGACTATCGTAAATAAATGTTAAATTTATAGCCGACAGCCAGCACGAGGTTATCTGGGTCTAGTATAATTTAAATAAAGCCATTTAAAAAGAAAATATCCAGTGCCTATGAATGTTGCAAGTTAAATAGTAATCTCATGCGTGTCCAGTCGTTGTGGAGTTCAGAATTAAACCTAAGGCTTCAGAGACTATAATTATAATTATACAGATACAACTTAGAGAAGGAAAGACACTTATCTGCAACAATACTTGATATTATGTTTACATTTTAGGACTTTTTTTGTTTAAATAGAAATAAATAACATTAAAGATAAATACTTACTACAAGTTGGCTCATAATAAACACCATTAGCATAGAAAAAGAATGAATGGTGATTTGCGTCGATGGTAACTGAGACAGGCCCTTTGTTGAATATGGCCAATTTCAATGCCCCTAGGTCACCCTCAGGTAAGGTTGTAAAGTTAGCCAGCTGGACAACGGGTTGGACAACCCTACTGCGACAGAACCCGTCCTGTTAAATACAGTTAAATTTATTTCGGTTTCTTGTTGTCTTTTATTAAATAAGTAATGTTAAAGAACACAGTTGTGGCCGCCATTTTGTAAGATACACGCAGAGAAGTGACGTTTGTAGGGGGCATACCAGGGCAGTAGCGTAGCGAGGGGGGCGGGGGAGGACATATGTCCCTGGGCGCCGACCTTAGGGGGCGCCAAAATGGGTTGGAAAAATAAATTGAAAGGTTGAGGGGGGTGCAAATTAAAAGTTTGAAGGGGGGGGTGCAAATCAAAATCTTGAGGGGCAGTTGCAAATCGAAAGTTTGAGGGGGGTGCAAATCGAAATCTTGAGGGGGATGCACATCGAAAAGTTTTTCCCCGGACGCCGGGAAGGGTCGCTACGCCTCTGTACCAGGGCAGGAAGCAAAACATTACCCCCTTCAATACCCCCCCCCCTGGACATTTCCCTGACATTACCCCCGGAGCAATTACCCCCCCCCCCCCCAACCCCGTTGTCAATTACCACTATATCTGTTACCTCCCTCCCTTTAGGGATAGAGTTAGGGTTAGGGCTAGGGCTAGGTTTAGTGGTAGTGTTATTTATAGAGAGTAAAGGTTTGTAGTAGGGGTTAGCATTGGTGTTGGGCTAGGGATAGCTATATGTTTGTAGTTGTGTTTGGAAGGGGGGGGATTGACAGGGAGTACTGACTCAGGGGGGGGGTAGTTGACGGGGGTAATGTCCTAGACCCACCAGGGTTTGAGATAATGGGATAATTTTTCGCCTATGTACTTAGATCCATCCCTTGTGCGATACATTTAATACCGCTTTTGGTTACAGAAGCTGCCGAAAGGAAGACAGCGCTTGTAATCAAAACTCATCGCCGGAGATCGGCGTGGTCGGGTCGGTTATGATCAAAGTTGCTGAACCGGAAAGTCTCGAGTTGGAAACCCCGAATAGATGAGGCTCGATAGCTGGGGACAGTATCTCATCTAGGAGAGACAACTACATACTTAAACAACTGCTGCATTGTAGTTTGCTCTTGGCTGGACAAAGGCTATGGAAGCAAATCCAAAAAGAAAAGCAGACTGAAATCATCGGAGTCAACGGCCCATTATGGCGCAAAAAAAAGTTTACACGTAGTACTTAATTGTATTGGATGTAATTCTTTACTCCTGTTTGATTTTTTCAATTTTTCTTAGATGGATTGCTTTTCGCCACATCAAGAACCCCTCCCCCTCCAACAAGCCTCATTTGCCCACAAGCTCAATCTCTAGAAGTTAACTTTGTCACAAAAAAGCACTAAAACGTACACAATCAAGTATCAACTTACAATAGCCAAGTAATGCCCATACTGTTCCTCGTTAGCGATACCGCCGTTTTGAATGGTGTAATTGAATGCTGCCGTCTGATAACCACCATTGCAGCCAAAGTTATTAAAACCCCAGGAACAGTCGACAAGTTGTTGCTCAGACAGACGTTCCAGGTGCCCGTTCTGGGTCGAGAAAACCGGAAGCAGAGGTCAGAAGCATGTCTGTCAAATCTAAGTGGCTAGTTTTAATTTATCTTCAAGAAATTAGACCACTCCACAGAAGTCAGTAGCTTGTAGTCTTTCAAATCTAAGTCGCTAGCTTTAATTTATCTTCAAGCCCACTCCGCAGAATTGCACATTCCACAGCTTGTAGTTCAAGTATGTGAAATCTAATTGAGTGGCTAGTTTTATTTTACCTTAAAAAATGAGCCCATTCCACAGACGTTAGTAGCTTGTAGCTCAAGCTTGTCTAATCTAATTAGCTACCGTGGCTAGTTTTAATTTACCTTTAAGAAATAAGCCCCTTCCACAGAAGTTAGTAGCTTGTAGCTCAAGCTTGTCTAATCTAATTAGCTACTGTGACTAGTTTTAATTTACCTTTAAGAAATAAGCCCCTTCCATGGCGCCAGTGGCTGAAAAACTCCAGCAAGAACCACAATGGGCTTGGTCTTTCACGGGCGTAACGGCACCTGTATGTAAACATTGGTTAAACATTCATCAGACCATTGGGACGTAAGCGTTGGTTAAACATTCAGCAGACAATTGGGATGTAAGCATTGGTTAAACATTCAGCAGACAATTGGGATGTAAGCATTGGTTAAACATTCAGCAGACTATTGGGATGTAAGAATTGGTTAAACATTCAGCAGACATTTGGGATGTAAGCATTGGTTAAGCATTCAGCAGACGATTGGGACGTAAGCATTGGTTAAACATTCAGCAGACTATTGGGATGTAAGCATTGGTTAAACATTCAGCAGACGATTGGGATGTAAGCATTGGTTAAACATTCAGCAGACAATTGGGATGTAAGCATTGGTTAAACATTCAGCAGACGATTGGGACGTAAGCATTGGTTAAACATTCAGCAGACCATTGGGATGTAAGCATTGGTTAAACATTCAGCAGACGATTGGGACGTAAGCATTGGTTAAACATTTAGCAGACCATTGGGATGTAAGCATTGGTTAAACATTCAGCAGACGATTGGGACGTAAGCATTGGTTAAACATTCAGCAGACGATTGGGACGTAAGCATTGGTTAAACATTCAGCAGACCATTGGGATGTAAGCATTGGTTAAACATTCAGCAGACGATTGGGACGTAAACATTGGTTAAACATTCAGCAGACGATTGGGATGTAAGCATTGGTTAAACATTCAGCAGACGATTGGGATGTAAGCATTGGTTAAACATTCAGCAGACAATTGGGATGTAAGCATTGGTTAAACATTCAGCAGACGATTGGGACGTAAGCATTGGTTAAACATTCAGCAGACCATTGGGATGTAAGCATTGGTTAAACATTCAGCAGACGATTGGGACGTAAGCATTGGTTAAACATTCAGCAGACGATTGGGACGTAAGCATTGGTTAAACATTTAGCAGACCATTGGGATGTAAGCATTGGTTAAACATTCAGCAGACGATTGGGACGTAAGCATTGGTTAAACATTCAGCAGACGATTGGGACGTAAGCATTGGTTAAACATTCAGCAGACCATTGGGATGTAAGCATTGGTTAAACATTCAGCAGACGATTGGGACGTAAACATTGGTTAAACATTCAGCAGACGATTGGGACGTAAGCATTGGTTAAACATTGTTGACTGGCGCGTCTAGAATCAACGGCAGCGAACTTTTGATGACCATATTCTACAGGTGAGCTAACCATACTTTTCTCCTGGGAGGTGGCACTTGATGTATTAGGAGGGGAGGGGCGGACCAAATTTTCCGGGGGGGGGGGCGGACTCTGATAAATGTATATATTTTCTATACCCCCCCCCGAAGAGATGCCTGGAAGAAACACTGGAGCTAACATGACCCAAATGAAACAAACCTTGGAGTCTCCAGTCCCACTGGTCAGGCACATCCTGTTTGTCCATGGCCATCAGGCTGAACTTCTTGCCCCCATGGTCACCATGGGTGTAGCGGAACCCTCTCATGACTTTCATCTCTTTCTCAGACCTGTCGGCCAGATGGTTCACGGCCAGCGTGTAGGTCAGACCGGCGCGGTTCTTGGAGTTGATAAATCTATACAGTTCAAAATATATTTTATGTCAACGATATACATATCAACAAAACAGACATTTTACGTCAACGATACACATTTTTTATCAACAAAACATTCTATGTCAACAAAACAAATTTTTATATCAACAAACTTACATTTTACGTCAACGATACACATTTTTATATCAACAAAACATTTTATTCAACAATACACATTTTTATATTAACAAAACGCAATTTTATGTCAACTTTACAATTTTTTTATATCAACAAAAAAATGTTTGTGTCAGCAATACACATTTTTATATTAACGAGACACATTTTTATGTTAACAATACACATTGTTATATCAACAAAACACAATTGTACATAAAAACAAATTTTAAGGACAAAAACACGAATAAATCCGATTACTTTGTGGACATTTTACAAGTTTATAACGTATTTTTTAACGTAGTCGTTTCTTTGAAATAAATTTTAAGAAGAAATAATTAAATTTTATATATTAACTTTATTTCTTTAGGTACAATGGTAAAAATGTTGGTCTCTTGTGAAATCTCGAAGACATTTTAGCGACCAACCTTCACACTTATCTATAAAGAAAGAACTATTTTTTAACTCTTTTTTAGAACCTGTATTATTAATTAGTGTGCGCATTGGTGTTTTATTAATTTTCACAAACTAAAACGAAAAACAAATCTATAGTCCAGTAGCTATTGAACATGCCTGAGATTCTTCCTGAATATCTGTTTCCGTGTCTCATGTTCCTCGTCGTCTTTGTACACCTTGTTGTGGGTCTTCTTGAAGCGTTCAAAAGCCTCGTGAACGTGGTCGTCATAGTTGTGAATATATTCGCGGATGGGGTTCATCATAATATGCTGTTCAGCACAAGTGTTATAAAGTGGGGTACAGGTCAGGTCTGTAGGGAAAAATAAAAGAGAATATTGTGCAACAACTTTTCAGATAAATAGAAATAGCTAGTGAATAAATATTTTGTTTTAAATATCCCTTCCTTCTGTTTGTATTTTGTAAATATAACTTCACGACAATCACTAATTTATTTTAGCTTCCTATGATAATCTAAAAAAAAAAGTTCCCTTTCGAACCTGATGGTCCAGGGGGGGGGGGGGGGGGCTCGCGATGTAGAGTTCGCCTGTTTCAGTGATATCGACTTATGAAAGGTACGTGTGATCAGTGAGCACCCATCATACCTGGGTGGACTCAGAGACAAAACCGGGGATTCGAGCTCGAGACTTTCGGGTTATCACTTGTATGCTCTACCATCCAAACACCCCGTCCTCTAATAATCTACAAATTCAAATTTATCCATCGTTTTGTGATTTTAGAAAATTACCAAAACGTATTAGATTTACTTGCGTAGCGCGTGTTCAAAGCTGTGGCAAGTGTAGTAATGCTTATATAATTAATTAACGAATTTAGTGCAAAAGGGAAATCAAAAACAACTGACTGTCAGGAACAGCAAAGTCTTTATCCGTAAACACAGCCGGTGATTCCCATTTAGTGTAGTCCACGTAATATCTGTCGACACCACATTGTTCAAGCCGTATGGGTGACAGGTCGGTAGCGTCTGCCCAGAATGTGCTGCGTGTCTTAAAGAATGAAAACAAAATATGTTTATGTGTGTCTTAAAAAATGGCATTAAATTATGCTTATGTGTTTCTTAAAGATGGAAAACAAAATATGTTTATGTGTGTCTTAAAAAATGGCAAAAAAATATGTTTCTGTGTGTCTTAAAGAATGAAAACAAAATATGTTTATGTGTGTCTTAAAGAATGAAAACAAAATATGTTTATGTGTTTCTTAAATAATGGCAACAAAATATGTTTATGTGTGTCTTAAAAATGGCAACAAAATATGTTTATGTGTGTCTTAAAAATGGCAAGAAAATATGGTTGTGTGTGTCTTAAAGAATGGCAACTAAATATGTTTATGTGTGTCTTACAAAATGGCAAATATGTTTATGTGTGTCGTAAAAAATGGCAAGAAAATATGTTTATGTGTGTCTTAAAGAATGAAAACAAAATATGTTTATGTGTGTCTTAAAGTATGAAAACAAAATATGTTTATGTGTGTCTTAAAGAATGAAAACAAAATATGTTTATGTGTGTTTTAAAGAATGAAAACAAAATATGTTTATGTGTGTCTTAAAAAATGGCAACAACATATGGTTATGTGTGTCTTAAAGAATGAAAACAAAATATGTTTATGTGTGTTTTAAAGAATGAAAACAAAATATGTTTATATGTGTCTTAAAAAATGGCAAGAAAATATGTTTATGTGTGTCTTAAAGAATGGCAACATAACATGTTTATGTGTGTCTCCTAAAAAATAGCAACTAAATATGTTTATGTGTGTCTTAAAAAATGGCAAATATGATTATGTGTGTCGTAAAAAATGGCAACAAAATATGTTTATGTATCTCTTAAAGAATGACAACAAAATATGTTTATGTGTGTCTTAAAGAATGACAACAAAATATATTTATGTGTGTCTTAAAGAATGACAACAAAATATGTTTATATGTGTCTTAAAAAATGGCAACAAAATATGTTTATGTGTGTCTTAAAAAGTGGCAACAAATTATGTTTATGTATGTCTTAAAGAATGACAACAGAATGTGTTGTTTATCTTAAATAATGACAACAAAATGTGTTGTTTATCTTAAAGAATGACAACAAAATGTGTTGGGTAACTTATAAAATGACAACAAAATGTGTTGTTTATCCTAAAGAATGACAACAAAATGTGTTGTTTATCTTAAAGAATGACAACAAAATGTGTTGGGTAACTTATAAAATGACAACAAAATGTGTTGTTTATCCTAAAGAATGACAACAAAATGTGTTGTTTATCTTAAAGAATGACAACAAAATGTGTTGTTTATCTTAAAGAATGACAACAAAATGTGTTGTTTATCTTAAAGAATGACAACAAAATTTGTTGGGTAACTTAAAAAATGACAACAAAATGTGTTGGGTAACTTAAAAAATGACAACAAAATGTGTTGTTTATCTTATAGAATGACAACAAAATGTGTTGTTTATCTTAAGAATGACAATAAAATGTGTTGTTTATCTTAAAGAATGACAACAAAATGTGTTGGGTAACTTAAAAAATGACAACAAAATGTGTTGTTTATCTTAAAGAATGACAACAAAATGTGTTGTTTATCTTAAGAAAAGCAACAAAATGTGTTGTTTATCTTAAAGAATGACAACAAAATGTGTTGTTTGTCTTAAAGAATGACAACAAAATATGTTGTTTATCTTAAAGAATGACAACAAAATGTATTGTTTATCTTAAAGAATGACAACAAAATGTGTTCTTTATCTTAAAGAATGACAACAAAATGTGTTGGGTAACTTAAAAAATGACAACAAAATGTGTTGTTTATCTTAAAGAATGAACAACAAAATGTATTGTTTATCTTAAAGAATGACAACAAAATGTGTTCTTTATCTTAAAGAATGACAACATAATGTATTGTTTATCTTAAAGAATGACAACAAAATGTGTTCTTTATCTTAAAGAATGACAACAAAATGTGTTCTTTATCTTAAAGAATGACAACAAAATGTGTTGTTTATCTTAAAGAATGACAACAAAATGTGTTGCAGGGTGTGTTGGCTGATAGAACAATCAGCTGATGATGTTGTCAAATTACCCCTTCAATCCATGGCATCTGGTACTTATTAGCCAGCCGAGTGCCGATCATTTCTTTACCAATAAACTAAAATTTATAAAATGAAGCATAGGTTAAAATATAAGCTACGATTAATGGACAACCTGTTTGTCTTACTTCACTACGTGGATGTGAATGATTGTGTGTGTGTGTGTGTAGCTGGGTGTGTAGCTATCACAGTAGTTTAAAAACATAGCGAAAAAGAACATACAAGAGCGTGGGGTGGTGTCTATAGAATAAAGATAATCCAACCGCAGCTACGGTAATCTTTTTTACAAAACAACCATCTAGTTAAAAATGCAAGAAAATGATTTTTTTTTAAATATAAAAAAAATTATTATGGTCGGCTGTTGGCCCGTAAATGGCGTGCCCACCCCCCCCCCCCCAGATTGCGGGGTCTGGTGGCACTGTAGTTCCGCCCCTGTTGGGAGCGGGGGGACGAAATATTTATGTTAGGCTTGTACATAGCAATGTGCTAAATCACTACAATGTGCTCGACCTAGAGGTAGTGCTAAGTCACTACGATGTACCAAATTACTAAATGGTGCTAAACCACTACAATGTGCTAAATCTCTACAATCTGCTAAACCCCTATAATGTATGTGCTAAACCAACGCATTGTGCTAAAACACTACAATATGCTAAATCAGTACAATTTACTAAACCACTACAATGATTTTTTTAAACATGTTTATGTAAAAAATGGTTTACAGATAATTTTTTAATAGAATAAACAGATTTTAATTCCATGTGTTTCTATTGACAAAGTAGTAAGCTATATAAATCCCTTTATGTGTTACGTTGTTTGGTTTTATTATGTTTGTAATTAGAATACAGATGATCTAAAATAAAACGGAATATGAATATTGCTGATTTAAGATTAATCAATTAGAAGTTCCATTTGTGAAAGAGTGATGAATGGTCCGTTTCTAGTCATGTTTTCTTTTTTTTTTTTTTTGTGGACGAGTTAAGACTTGTGTGTGTATGTGTGTATTTCTGCGTGCATGTGAGTGTGTATTTGTGTGGGGGAGGGGGGTGTTATATATGTGTATATTTAGGGGTAGGCTTGGGTCCATAGATTCGTAAACATGATGAAGACAAATAAAATAAATCTTTTTTTTTTAATATTTCACGAGGGCGAAATCTACATTTTATGTTTATAATTAGATGTTAAATTAAAACTCTAAAATTACCACTCACGACATAGTCACTTAGATCCGGCAACACGTTATTCAGATATATCGGGATAGCCTGTGTTCCATTGTTTTGTAAACATGATATTTGATTATACACCTTTAGGTTGGTCACTGGGACGATCAAAAAACTTGTACCATAGAGAAGTCCTGGGGCCTCGCTAAACTGGATAGTCCTCTGGGTCCCTTTCAAATAAAAAAAAAGAACTTATCAAAGGATAAGACATGGACGTCTTATACTATATTTCAAAAAATCTTCATGCTCATTCATAAATTTAAAAATAAAGTTTTAAAAATTATATTTACGACATTTAAAAAAAAACAGGCTATGTAATTGCATTTTTAATAAGATTTTTAAAAAACCTCACTTTAGCTGAATTTTTTATATGACTAACAAGCAGAAAAATACCTTCAGAAGACAGGCATGAATGAATGGGGGGAAAAACATACGTGAACGTTTAAATCATTTAAAAAATCACTAATTGTTTCCCTATTACTCCTATACAGTGTTTCTCTCAGACTTTTGTTCTGTGGTGGGGTGGGGGGTGAAATTTTCGGGGTGGGAGGGTGGGAAGTCGACACTAGTAAAAGATATATATTTCGTCCCGAGGGGGCGGGAACGTTAGACGTTCTTCAGGGTGTACCCGGAAGAGATGCCTGAAAAAAAAACTCTGCTCCCTTCAATATTCTTTGTTTATTCATACGTATTAGCTTTGTTAAATGTTAACAAAGTTCACAACGGTCTTACCATTATAGTAATCCACTCTCGAACGTGAGTTTGGTGCATCAAAAAAAGCTACGAAAGGCTCCGTAATTTCAGGGTAAGGAAAACGCATGACGCCTTCTACCCTGTATGTGTCCTTGTATACAGGTGGGTCTACTGCTAGGCAACCAACAACTGAAAATAAAAATATCAAACCAGGTCATGTTTAGACTAATTTCAAGCTGACCAGAACGGAGTCTTGGCTGACTCGCATGAGTCTGAGTTCTTTAAAAAAAATGTAGGTTTTTTTTAAGTTACCAACCGAAGGGTGACCGGAAAGATGCGCAACGGAAAAATGCGCAACGGACAACTGCGCACAAAAAAAGTGTACAGGGGCATTTTGGTTTTCTCAAATCAAGCATTTTTGGACAATAATAAAGAATGAGAACGTGTGCATTGTAGCATAATAAAACACATTTCCGCGAATTATGTAAATTGAAAGTGTTTTAAAACATGTTTCCGCGAATTATGTAAATTGAAAGTGTTTTAGTATAATAATTTTGCATTTTCGCATTTATCTTTATGCGCAGTTTTCCGTTGCGCAGTTTTCCGTTTGCGCAGTTTTCTTGGAACTCGATCGAAATATATTTTATCAGAAATCAATACTCTATGTGGCCCAATGTGTTCGTCTGTCTGTCTCTCCTTCTGTCTGTCTAATAAACAAAAACAGCTTTCATGGAATTTAATGGTACATGTGTGTCGGTAAAAAAATAATAGTTTCTATTCATTTTAATGACAACAGCTTTTACTAGTTTTACTATATCTAAGAAATTATTGTTGCTTTTTTTTTTTTTTTTAGTTTTTAAGTGCATAAAAATTGTATTAGTTTAACAGTTTTTAAACCTGTTTTATTTATCTTAAGATCTTCCTAGTGGCAGGCAAATTAGAAAGTTTCTATTGTCTGCATTTAAGCTATTCCAGAAATAGATTCATTTATCATGTAGCATGGCTGAAAGTCTTTCACTAGTGTTCAGTATAGCTATGGTAATTTAAAATAAATTTAATTTTTATCAAAATTCTAACAAAAAATGCAGGTAAAAATATTGTTCAATTGTTATTTTAAAACAATTTAATGTAATGTAAAGTTAACAAACTACTTACAAAAAATGTAATATGATCAAAAGTTAACAAACTACTTACACAAAAATGTAATGTGATGTAAAATTATCAAACTACATACAAAAACGTGTAATGTGATGTAAAGTTAACAAACTACTTAAAAAAAATGTAATGTGATGTAAAGTTAACAAACTACTTACAAAAAAATGTAATGTGATGAAAAGTTAACAAACTACTTACAAAAAAATGTAATGTGATGTAAAGTTAACAAACTACTTACAAAAAAATACCAAAGGGATGTAACCCATGTTTGCCATTTTTCTTGAGAGAACTACCACACCAAGTATGACCACACAAAGTACCACTCGATGTACTAGGCTATTTATAGAAACTAAGTAAGCTAATCAGCGACATCACATGAGGGAGTTAATTAAAACTTAATTAAAGTTTACCATCCGTTTAAGTTTTGTACCCAGGTGTCATAGGTTGAAGATTTGACTTGTTTCAGACGAGTCGAATGTAATCAACTGTTTTAAATTCTTTCACTGCAAGATTTGATTCGGTCGTTGGTGTTTATTGTATTTTTATATACACCAGCATAAGCATTCTATTGTTAAACATTGTAATAGTTTCATATTGAAATTTTTTTACTTCTATCGTTGCAAAAGCGTTAAAAAACTGTAATAAATTTTTAAAATAAAAAAGGAGAACCAATGATCCAAATCCTTTAGGACAGGTGGAAGATTTTATTTGGTCTTTTTAAAAAGACCATGTAGACAAGCACCTGCCCCAGCATAAGCAGATGTACATGCGCACCTGCACATGTACAAGCGCGCGCTTGCATGTGAAGATGCACATACACCTGCATAAGTAGATTACATAAGCAGATGTACATGCGCACCTGCACATGTACAAGCGCGCGCTTGCATGTGAAGATGCACATACACCTGCATAAGTAGATGTACATAAGCAGATGTACATGCACTGCACATGTACAAGCGCGAGCTTGCATGTGAAGATGCACATACACCTGCATAAGAATATGTACATAAGCAGATGTACATGCACTGCACATGTACAAGCGCGAGCTTGCATGTGAAGATGCACATACACCTGCATAAGAATATGTACATAAGCAGATGTACATGCACCTGCACATGTACAAGCGCGCGCTAGCATGTGAAGATGCACATACACCTGCATAAGAATATGTACATAAGCAGATGTACATGCACCTGCACATGTACAAGCGCGCGCTTGCATGTGAAGATGCACATACACCTGCATAAGAATATGTACATAAGCAGATGTACATGCACCTGCACATGTACAAGCGCGCGCTTGCATGTAAAGATGCACATACACCTGCATAAACATATGTACATAAGCAGATGTACATGCACCTGCACATGTACAAGCGCGCGCTTGCATGTGAAGATGCACATACACCTGCATAAGAATATGTACATAAGCAGATGTACATGCACCTGCACATGTACAAGCGCGCGCTTGCGTGTGAAGATGCACATACACCTGCTTGAACTATGAAGACCTCTTTTAAACCTATATTCTCATTGTGACGGAGAATCTGGTCGCTACTGGAGCAGGCGGTCGTGGAAACCTTGAAAGACGTACACCCTGATATGTCGAGCCGCGTACATTCAATTATTACCTGCGAAATTTATCAGCTGCTTCCGAAGATTTCGTCAGGGATTTCGTTGGCGCGTTGGTGTGAATAGCTTTTAAGCACTGTGCGCGGATATGCGAGAAAGCAACAACGGAAGTTCAAATCAGCTAGGCACTTCGCGGAAATGTGAAATTATTACTTTTTACATACAGAAGTTAGAATGAGTATATTTTTAAAAATATATATAACTAGCCGTCCCGGCCAGGCCCTGCTATGGCTTCTGTAAAAAACCTTTCTGTTAAAGACCATTACCTGTGTGTTTAGTAATCATCATAAACCCGGCATTGCCCACCCAAACCACAACCAACCAAAACAACAAAACGCAAACATAACGCTAACACAATTACAAATACAAAAGAAAACAAAAACCTAACAACAAACCCAACCACAACCACAAACACCAATACAAACACAAAGAAAAAATAAACAAAAAAGCAAACGAAAACAAAAACCTAACAACAAACCCAACCACAAACACCAATACCAACAAAAAAAACAACAACGAAAAAGCAAACGAAAACAAACCAAATCCAAACGCAAAACCAACCAAAAACACAAATACAAACCCAAACAAAAAAAACACAAACAAAAACGAAAAAAAGGAAGAACAAAAACGAACCAAATCAAAACGAAACCACTAACGCAAACCCACCTAAACACAAAGAAAACACTAACGCGAACATAAACGCCCGGGGCGGAATCACCTTTTTTAGCTTAACGAACGACTATAGTACCCCAACTTATTCATAGTCTTTTGCACTCACTTAAACGAACGCGCCTGTTTCAATTTAATGAACAATTTTAATACTCCAAGCTTATCCGTAAAATACCTACAACATTTGCACTTGATCAATCCCCGCTAATTATGTAATTATTTTTTTTTCCCAACACCAAAACAAAGTAATTAAAAAGTAAATTATTTTCCACAAAATGCAATGGTTTTATAAAGGGAAGTAATTTTGTTTTCCTAATTTATCAAAGGGAAGTAAGTGCTATAGGACTAAATAAAGACATAATTAGAATTTTTGTAAAAGATGATATTTTTTTTAAACTTGTGTTTAATGAACATGCCGACAATTATTACTATAATTTGAAAAATGAAAATTATTTCCCAACACTTTCAATAGTAATTTTTTAGCTCATAAATTTAGACAAATGCGCGCGATAATTTTCTAACACTTAAATTCATCCAAGACCAACGACAAACATATGCATTTCATACAGAACTGAGCTTTATATATTAGATCAGTACAAATAGCAACAACATCGCTGTATTAGGATTGTGTCTAAATTTAGTTAGAAGATTTGCCACAAACCCACAAACCTACAAACCCATAAACAAAGAAATAAATAAACAAACGTTGCGAACTAAATAAAAGATTGTAATTTTAAAAATAAACCGGTAGTGATCTCCCCTAAACTTTCTCGAATATTCTTATATGAAACAACAGGGAATGGCAACTCGGGATATAGACATGACTTTTGATCCATTTTAAATACTTAAATTTTTTAAAATAGAATTGCACACCAAGTGAACGTCATATAAAATGTGCAAAATAGTGCGGAATATTATTAGTACTTTATAAATTCACATGCGGTTTTTTTTTTGAGAAATCGGAAATAGCGAAAATTATTACTTCCGGTCAACGGAAATTACTCAAAATTTGAAAGAAGACAGATAATTAGATCTTTTACTTACATGTAAAATTTCATTTATCCATCGGAAATAGTACTTAAGTTATAGGCTTTTGAAAAATTCAAAGTAGAAAAAGTTCCACTTCCGTTTGTCAGAAATCGCTCAAAAGTTGATACAGATCTACGATTTTTATATAATACTTATATATGAAATTTACCTAGCTGTAAACGGTACTCAAGTTATCGTGTTTACACACAGACACACACACAGACATTGGACAGAATTGGATAATCCAGTTTTTCCGACTCCATTACGCATAAAACGCCAAAATTTTGATATATCTGGATTTATAATTTTTGCCCGATTAAAATAAGTCCTCTACATCCCGGATGTGATGAAGGACTTAGGGGTAAAACGGTGAAAACTGTCCAATCTTTATGTGATTTTTGTGCACGATTACAAGATTTTCTCTATACTTCGTATATACGAGAAAAATAGGAATCCATTCTAAGAAAGGGCAAACATCAGAGCTTTATATAAATTTATACATCATTTTAGAAGACTGTTTAAACCAATTGCATCACAGCGAAAACTAGCTCTAATACAGTGGTTCTTAACCTGGGTCCGATTGAATCCCCAGGGAAGGGGGAAGTTCTAGAATTTTTAGACATAAAAATGTACAATTTAATGATTAACAGTGACTTTGTGTATTAAAGAAAAAGAAAAATGGGTAAAAAAAAAAGTTAATATTAATTTAAGGTGTTATTTTTGTTGTTTATTTTTTGTGTAAATATGTTCTTTTAAAAGCCTACTGCGATTGGGCGTATATATTCGTTTATATTTATAGACTATGACGTCAACTGGGGCAAGCAGCAAAGCAGATTATAGGGGAGACAAATCATCCAATCAAGCTAAAGTGTATAAGGAGCAAATTGTGTTTTACGTTGTAAACAAAAAGCTACCCAAAATAAACCGGGAGTGATCTCCCCTAAACTTTCTCGAATATTTTTATATAAAATAACAGGGGATGGGAACTCGGGCTATAGACATGATTTTTAATCCATTTTAAATACTTAAAGTTTTAAAAATAGAATAAAATCTCGTAGACAAAAGAATTGCACTCCAAGTGAACGCTAAATAAAAAAGTGCATAATAGTGCGCAATATTATTAGTACTTTAAAAATTTACATTACTTTTTTGAGAAATCGGAAGTAGCGTAAATTACTACTTCCGTTCAATGGAAATGACTCAAAATTTAACAGAAGGTAGAGAATTAGATCTTTTACTTACTTGTGAAATTTTGTTTATCTATCTGAAATAGTACTCAAGTTATAGGCTTTTGAAAATTTCAAAGTAGGAAAAGTACCACTTCCGGTTATCAGAAATCGCTCAAAAGTTGATACGGATCTTCGATTTTGATAAAATACTTATATATGAAATTTCATCAACTTAGCTGTAACGGTACTCAAGTTATCGTGTTTACACACGGACAGACAGACAGACACACAGACAGACACACAGACATACGGACAAGATTGCAAAATTATGTTTTTCCGTGTCAGTGAGATGTAAAACGTCGAAATTTGTAAAAATCTCGATTTTTTTTTTTGCACGATTACAATACTTTCTCTATACTTCGTGTATACGAGAAAGTAAAAAGAACTTAAAAGCAATGTTAGAAAACAAGTTTTAGCCGTTATTTCGCGTTTTAGAAAACTGTTTTAATAAATTTTAACAGGAATTGATTAAAATACTCTATGTTGACAGAGCTCAGACAAGATTCTGGAAAAAATATCGATGTTTTAAGAAAAAAATTTAAGAAAAAAATTCAACTGCAATTTTGAGGGAGGTTGTAGGCTGAGGTGTGAGGTTATTGTAATGGGGGGGGGGGGGTGGCCTTTTGTGACGATGTGTGATGGAGGAGAGGGGGGAGTGTAAAAAGCGTGACGTCATTTATGGATGAAATCCTAGAGTCTTATTCTTTTTAAATTAGACCTTTTTTTTTTTGCAATCGTTTTCTTCTATTTTTAGCATAGTGG